GGTTGAGCATCCCTGGATGGTTTCTCTGGCTTAGAGAGCTCCAACACTAGAGCGGTGCCAGGGTCAACATCTGTCACCTTGCACAGTTGTCACATAAGAGGGTCCTAGGCATAACTATATTGAGCACGACTTTTAAGACAACACATCTATAGAATCAAGTCAAAGGTTTAATCGTTGACCCAGCTAGAAATCCTCCTTTGCCACCTCTTTTTGAAAGTGGCCCATAGGCTCACCAAATGTAACCAAACATGATCATATTAGTAGAGACTATTTGACTTTCAGAGTACACGATACCAGGCACCTGGCTGATAACCTTCATCGGAGAGACCAACCCTTATTCCCTAGGTCTTCTCTGAAGACAGAATCTCTGTTAAAAGGAGCAGGACAACTTGTGTGAGCAAGCTGTCTAGTACCTTCCTCGTCATGCTGCCTCACACAAGCGGTTTCTCCAAAAACGATGAAATGAGATACCTCCTCATGTGGATTCCATCCTGTAGGCTTAGACAGAAGGTACCCCAGGTCTGGAGCCAAGTCCAGACAGGGTACTTTTGATACAGCTTGGACATGTCTCTCTTCATATCTCAGGTGGGAATAGTTCCTGCCTCAAAATTGGGTTTACGAGGCAGAGCTTGGTTATGGGACATTTTACCAGCAGTTTGACATGAGTGTGTTCTCACATCTTGAGTTTTCAAGAAAGACAGTAGTTTGAAAAAAGTTGGACAGTCATTTTTGACTGGAGAGACCCCTCTCACCAGGAGTCTGATGGATTCTCTTTGCTCTGTGCCACCATTAAGAGCTCCCTAAGTACTCAGAAGATGCCCAGCAGAGAACAGGGACATTCACATCATGAGCCACAGGTATCTTTACTATTATTAAATGAGCCTGATACCCTCATGTCTATAGAGCAGGACAAAACTCTCTTCTCCCTCCCTTTGGAAAAAATCCTAGGACTCCTCAAACAGCACACCAAGAGCACCTGGAGGCTCATTTGTTTTCTGGATTTACTCAGGCCTTCAGAGACAAACTGCATGCATTCGTGAAAGTCCAGTTTGCCTTCATGAGCAAGAACACCTCATTGATTGATGACCCTCAGTGACTGTTAAACCACTGGTCATGACAACCGATCACAGCTACAGACTCTCTATGATGGGACATGCCATGCAGCCATGCTGAGTAGATGTTTCCACTGAAAGACACAAAGTGAGATGGGGTGCTCAGCAAATGGTACTAAAATACCCGGAACTCATGATGATTGTTAAAGTCTAAGGATAACATGGGGAAAACTTATGGAGGAGACTATCCACATGGTCGTACTCCCCAAGGTGACCTCCCATTCTTCAAGGTCTCCAGCAAAAAACATAATCTTACTGACAGGACCATAATCATCTTCTCCATGTTGGTTTCCCCTACTGTCACCTAGGCTGGGCCTCATTGTCATGCATGAACTTTCAGTCATTACTGCTCCTCCATGCAATATAAAATGCTCACCATTCACCCTTCACAAGGATCCACCAATCCCATAGCCCTCACAAGGACAGTTATATGCTCACCACAAGTCAACCAGGAACAGCGTTTTGGAGAACATTTCATTTTCAGAGGATTGATGGCCAGTCACCTGGTTGCAGCCCTTTGTTGCTGGGTTAGCAGCTTATTTCCAAGTCATCCTTTGAGAGACAAGGAGCTGTAAAGGCATGTCAAAAAGGATACTGACACTTTCACTGGGCTGCTGCATTCCACAGACCTTTCCTCCAAACACATCCAGAAGAGACATTACATTTTTGTTGGGCCCTCTGTTTTGGTGATGTCTGGCAATCTCTGTGGATTCAGAGCCAAAGAACACACCATACACAGGGTTCAAGCTGAGACATTTTAGATGCCTGTCCTCTCATATCTCAATTTGCAAAACATACAACTGTGTAATAATTGGTGTTATTGAGCAATAACTGGCACGTTTGACTCTACCCTGCTGCTTGTAATCAATGGGATTTCACATCTTGAGCATTTAAACGAGTTGATGATTTCACAAGTGGATTTCATATCTACTTCTTAGTTTGTTTCCCCTCTGAACATGACTGCCACACAGTCTACTTTTTTGCAGCACCATGCCACACTTCCTGAGACCTCAGAAGATGCTCAACTAAGGACATAGTCTGGCACAAGCTGAGTGAACGATTGGTTTAGTATCCAGTTTCTGGCCCACTGGTCATATCCTCTTATCCTTGAGATTAGATGAGACAATTGGACCTCACCAAACACCAGTCTGAGAGCATCTGAAGGTTCTTGAGCTCCAGTCTAATATGGGTTTCAAGAGAAAACATACTCATATTGGTTCAGAGTTCAATTTGTCTCCAGAACTGAGAGTTCCCAAGCCTAAGGGGGCCCACAGGAACTTATGAATGATGGTCATGACTCCCAATCCCAGCCAAGCTGTCCCCTGGGATGGTACATACCATTTTGCCAGTGTGGGCAGAATATTTCATTGTGAGACCCAAAGAGAGTATTTGAGCTAGGAAGGGGTTGTTAGTCTGCCCTGCATTTGTGAATGGGTCAAAACAATACAATCAAATTTGCCAATTTCATGGTAGAGTTCTTTCTCTGGGTTGAACACCCCTGGATGGTTTCTCTGGCATAGAGAGCTGTATGACTAGAGCGGTGCCAGGGTCATCATCAGGCTCACGTCACTTTGCACAATTGTCATGTAAGAGGCTCCTAAGCATAACTATATTGAGCACAACTTTTAAGAAAACACATCTCTAGAATCAAGTCAAAGGTTTGATCATTGACACAGCTAGGAATCCTCCCTTGTTGCCTCTCTTTGAAAGTGACCCATAGGCTCACCAAATGTAACTAAATGTGACCAGATTAGTGGCGAATATTTGACTTTCAGAGGACACGATGCCAGGCACCTGGCTGACATCTTTCGTCCAAGAGACTGAAACTTATTCTCTAGGGTTGGGAGCCAGCCACAGAGGCCCACTGAGCATTAGGGATCAGGGAGGGCCATGGATCCCGAGACCACTAGGATGCATTCGGAATCTGCTGACCCCATTCCCTCCTTCCTTTTTCTAATTAGCCACTTAGCCAAAAGGAACTCTGCTGACCTAAGCTGAAGGCTCTGTGACTGTGCCAGGCATGGCTCACTCTAGAAACTCATTGTTCCTGTTTCCCATGAACTGTGGTTTCGGCTTAGGTATTAGACATAATTCAAACTCAGGTAACATTTGGGAGCCTTCTATATGGTACAAGCTTTTTTATAAGATTTAAAAGTATATGTGTAGAATTAGTATATACATATGGAGATCTGTTTTCAGCTTTAGATGGTATAGATGATTATCTAGAATTACCAGAAATGGTCCAGTATAAACTTTGGGCTGGGCCACATTCCAAAGGGCCCAGCACATAGTTTGGACTGGGCTGCATTCTTTTAAACCTGTTTTTAGTTGCAATTAGTGTAGGGTTTTTCAACTTATTATAGAAATTGAACTTATTTTACTCACAGAAAGTATTGTAGAATAGGTCATGCTAATGTCAGGGAATAATGTTAGTTCAATCATGATCAAATATGATATTTTGAGGTTTAATAAGAATACAGCTAACTCTAGAAATCTCATTGTTTTCATTTTCTACATTTGCGGTTGTGGCTTTAACACAATTTACAGTTTATATTTGGGTTTTATTTTTAGAAGATTTGTTGCTGATGGTCAACTTATATATTAGGATTAGGCATTAGAAACTTTTATAGAAGTTAAAATAGATATATAGGATTTTAGAATAGCCATTTTGTTAAGAGATTGTAATCAACTGTTCCTAGAAACACCCAGCATGGTCTTTGAACTGGGCCACATTCTTTAGGAACTGGTTTGGGCTATAATTAAGAGTTTCTATAGTGTAGATAGAATTAGCATAGAATAGAAAGATATTAGGATTTAAGTTAGTCATTAGGTGTTGTGTATGCATAAGCTTTAGAAGTTATTGATTATTAGAATATTATGATGTTAGAATTGTTGTATTGCTTTTGAGGAACATTAACCAAGCATAAGGAACACTGAGATAATTTTGGGATTGTCCTTCCTCATTCTTGAGGAAATACATGGTGAGTGGGGGACACCCCTCCTCCACCTAGCTTTGTGTTCACGTGAAAGTCTTGTGATTTAATTGGGATTGTCCTTCCTCGTGCTTGAGGAAACTCCTGGTGGGTGGGGGACACCCCTCATCCACCTGGCTTTGTGTTCACGTGAAAGTCTTGTGGTTTAGCCCGTGAAAATTTGGGATAAAAGGCTTATGGTTTGTCCCACTAAATGGCTTCTGCACTAGACAGGAGTCCAATCTCTTTCTTTCTTTTAAAATATATCCCTACAGATTCACCGATGCTGTCACGTCTGTCCAGGAACCCCCAAAACATGCAGGGGCTGGCCCCCCACACACTAGGTCTTCTCTGAAGAAAGGATCTCTGTGAAAAGGAGCAGGACAGCTTGTGTGTAAAAGCTGTCTAGTATCTCCCTAGGTATGCTGCCTCACACAAGCGGTTGTCCACATAATGAGGAAATGAGATACCTGCTCATGTAGAATCCATCCTGTAGGCTGAGACAATCGGTCAACCACATCCTGAGCCAAGTACAGATGGGGTACTATTGATATAGTTTGGACATGCCTCTCTTTGTATCTCCAATGCCAATAAGTTCCGCAGTCTCAAAGGTGGGTTTTCATGGCACAGCTTGGTTATGTGAACTTTTGCTAGCAGTTTGATATGAGTGTGTTCTCACACATTGAGTTTTCTTTTCTTTTTTTTTTTTTTTTTTTGAGTTGGAGTCTCACTCTGTTGCCCAGACTGGAGTGCAGTGGCTGCTCCCGGCCACCGCAGCCTCGACCTGCTGGGCTACGGCGATCCTTCCGCCTCAGCCTTCCGAGTAGCCGGAATTACAGGTGCACGCTACCACGCCCAGCTGATTTTTTGATTTATTGTAGAGATGAGGTCTCGCTGCCCAGGTGGGTCTCAAACCTGCGGGCTCAGGCAATCCACTCACCTCAGCCTCCCAAAGGCACGGGATTACAGGCTGAACCACCGAGAGAGACGGTGGCTTCAAAAAAGTTGGATAGACATTTTTGACTTGAGTGCCCCCTCTCAACAGATTTCCGGTGGATTCTCTTTGCTCTGTGCCACCATTTTGAGCTCCCTAAGCACTCAGAAGATGCCCAGCAGAGGACAGGGCCATTCACATCGTGAGCCACAGGTACCTTTACTATCACTAAATGAACCTGATTCTCTCATGACTGTAGAGTTGGAAAAAACTCTCTTCTCCCTCCATTTGGAAAAGAATTCTAGGTCGCCTCAAACAATATACCAAGAGCATCTCGAGACTCATTTGTTTCTGGATTCACACAGGCCTTGAGAAACAAATTGCATGCATTGGTGAAAGTCCAGCTTGCCTCCATGAGCAAGAACGACTCATTGCTTGATGACCCTCGGTGACTGGTTAATCATTGGTCATGACAACCAATCACTGCCACAAACTCCTCTGTGACGGTGTATGCCATGAAGCAATGCTGAGTAGATGTTTCCACTGAAAGACACAAAATGAGATGGGGTAATCAGCAAGGGGTGCTAAAATGCCCAGGACTCAGGATAAGGATTAAAGTCAAAAGATAATATCGGGAAATTTTATGGAGGGAACTACTCACATGGTCGTACTCCCCAAGATGGCCTCCCGTACTTCAAGTTCTACAGCATCTAACACAATCATACTGACAGGACCATCAGCATCTTTCCCATGTTGGTGTCCACAACTGTCACTTAGGCTGCTCCTCAGCATCATGCGTGAACTTTCCATCACCACTGCTCTTCCAGACAATATAAAATGCTCATCATTGACCCAACACAAGGACCCACCATCCCATATCCCTGGCAAGGACTGTCATATGCTCACCACAAGTCAACCAGGAACAGTATTTTGGAGAATACTTCATTTTCAGAAGATACGTGGCCAGCCACCTGGTTGCAGTCCTTTTTTGCTAGGATAGCAGCTTATTTCCAGGGCACCTTCTGAGATTAAAGGAGTCATAAGGGCATGTCAAAAAGGATACTGATAATTTCACTGGGATGCTGCATCCCACAGACCTTTCCTCCAAACACATCCAGATGAGACAACACATTTCTGTTGGGTCCTCAGCTTTGGGTGATATCTGGCAATCCCCATGGATCAGGAGCCTAAGAACACACAATACACAGGGTTCAGGGTGAGACATTTTTTATGCCTGTGATCTCATATCTCAACTTGCAAATCAGTCTACTGTGTAATCATTGGGTTTCTTGAGCAATATTTGGCATGTTTGACTCTAGCCTTCTGCTTGTTCAGTGAGATTTCATGACCTGAGCATTCAACAGAGTTGATGATTTCACAAGTGGATTTCATATCTACTTCTTAATTTGTGTCCCCTCTGATCATGACTGCCACACAGTCTCCTTTTTGCCATCAACCTTCCAGACTCCCTGAGACCTCAGAAGATGCACAACTAAGGACATTGTCTGCCTCAAGTTGAGTGAAAGAATGGTTTAGTATGGATCCAGGTTTTGTCCTGCTCAGCAAAATTCACTTATCCCTGAGATAAGCAGAGACACTTGGACCTCCTCAGACACCAGGCTGGGAGGAACTGGAGGCTCTCTTTGCTCCAGTATCATAGGGATTTCAAGAGAAAAAGTACTCATATTGGTTCAGAATTCAATTTGGGTCTGTACCTGAGAGTTCTCAAGCCTAAGGGTCCCATATAAACTTATGAATGATCATCAGGACTTCCATTCCCACCCATGCTCTTCCATGGGATGGTGCAGGCCATGGTGTCAGCGTCGGCAGAATATTTCATTGTGAGTCACAAAGAGAAAAGATAATCTAAAGAAGGGCCTTTAACCTGCCCTGTGTTTGTGAAAGGGGTCAAGACATTACAATCGAAGTTGCCAATTTCGTGGTGGGGTACTTCCTCTTGGTTGAGCACCCCTGGATGGTGGCTCTGGCTGAGAGAGTTCCATGGCATCAGTGGTGCCAGGGCCATCATCAGGCTCATGACAGTTTGCACAATTGTCATGTAAGAGAGTCCTAAACATAATTATATTGAGCATGACTTTCAAGAAAACACATCTCTAGAATCAAGGCAAAGGTCTGATCATTGACCCAGCTAGGAAACCTACTTTGCTGCCTCTTTTTGAAATAGGCCTGTAGGTTCAACAAAAGTAACCAAATGTGAGGAGATTCCTGGAGACTCTTTGACTCTCAGAGGACATGATACCAGGCATCTGGCTGACATATTTAATTCAAGAGCCTGACAGCTATTCTCTTCGCCTTGTCTGAAGCCGGGATCTCTGTGAAAAGTATGAGGACAGCCTGTATGAACAAACTGTCTAGTACCTCCGTAGGTATGCTGACTCACATGTGTTGTTTCTCCACATAATGATGAAATGAGATAGCTGCTCATGTGGAATCCATCCTGTAGGCTGTGGCAAAAGGTCCACCAGGTTCTGGACCAAGTCCAGACAGGGTACTTTTGATACAGCTTGGAAATGCCTCTCTTCGTATCTCAGGTGTGAATATATTCAGCAGTCTCAAAGATGGGTTTTAATGTTACAGCTTGGTTATGGGACCTTTAGCCAGCAGTTTGACATGAGTGTGTTATAACATCTTGAGTTTTCAAGAAAGACAGTGGTTTCAAAAAAGTTGGACAGTCATTTTTGAGTTGAGTGCCTCATCTCACCAGGAGTCTGGTGGATTCTCTTTGCTCTGTGCCACCATTCCGAGCTCCCTAAATACTCAGAAGACACCCAGTAAAGAACAGGGCCATTAACATCAGGAGCCACAGATACTATTACTATTATAAAAGGAGCCTGATTATCTCATGTCTATAGAGCACGAAAAATCTCTTCTCCCTCCATTTGGAATAGAATCCTAGGACTCCTCAAACAGCACACCAAGAGTATCTCAAGGCTCATTTGTTTTCTGAGTTCACTCAGGCCTTGAGGGAAAAACTGCATGCATTGATGAAAGTCCAACTTTCCTCCATGAGCAAGAATGCCTCATTGATTGATGAACCTCAATGACTGGTAAATCATTGGTCATGAAAACAGATTGCAGCCACAGACTCCTCTATGATGGTGCATGCCATGCAACCACACTGAGTAGATGTTTCCACTGAAAGACAAAAATTGAGATGGGTAGCTCAGCAAGGGGTGCTAAAATGCTCACGAGTCAGGATGAGGATTAAAGTCTATGGATAACATGGGGAAAATTATGGAGGAGATTATCAAATGGTCGTACTCCCAAGATGGCCTCCCGTACTTCAAGTACTCCAGCAGCAAACACGATCGTACTGCCGGGACCATCATCATCTTCCCCATGTTGGTTTCCACAACTGATACCTAGACTGGGCCTTAGCATCATATATGAACTTTCAGTCATCACCATTTCTCCAGGCAATATAAAATATGATCATTGACCCAACACAAGGATCCACCAATCCCATATCCCTCACAAAGACAGTCATATGTCAACAGGAACAGCATTTTGGAGAATATTTCGTTTTCAGGGGATTTGTGGGCAGTCATCTGGTTGCAGTCCTTTGTTGCTGGGATAGCAGCTTATTTCCAGGACACTTCTGAGAGAAAAGGAGCCATAAGGGAATGTCAAAAAAGATACTGATACTTAAACTGGGATGCTGCATCCCACAGACCTTTCCTCCACACACATCCAGATGAGACAATACATTTCTATTGGACTCTCTGCTTTCAGGTGACATCTGGCAATCCCCATGGATCAGGAGCCAAAGAACACACCATACACAGGGTTCAGGGTGAGATATTTTGAATGCCTGTCCTCTCATATCTCAATTTGCAAAGCAGACTACTGTTGGGGTTCTTGAGCAATATTTGGCATGTTTGACTCTAACCTCCTGCTTGTAATCAGTGAGATTTCACATCTTGAGCGTTCAAAAGAGTTGATGATTTCACAAGTGGATTTCTTATCTACTTCTTAATTTGTGTCTGCTCTCCACATTACTACCACACAGTCTCCTTTTTCCATCACATTTCCACATTCCCTGAGACCTCAGAAGATGCTCAACTAATGCCATAGTCTGGCTCAAGTTGAGTGAAAGAATGATTTAGTATGGATCCTGTTTCTGTCCTGCTCAACAAAATCCTCTTATCCCTGAGACTAGCAGAGATTCTTGGACCTCATCAGACACCAGGTTGAAAGCATCTGAAGGCTCTCTTTCCTCCAGTCTCATAGGGGTTTCAAGAGATAAGGTACTCATTTTGGTTCAGAATTCTATTTGGCTGTGGAACTGAGAGCACCCAAGCCTATAGGGTCCCAAATAAACTTATGAATGATAGTCATGACTCCCAATCCCGGCCATGCTCTTCCCTGGGATGGTGCATACCATGGTCCCAACATGGGCAGAATATTTCATTGTGAGACACAAAGAGAGAAAATGATTTAAGGAAGGGGTTGTTAACTTGCCCCTGTTTGTTAATGGGGTCAACACATTACAAACGAATTTGCCAATTTCATGGTGGAGTGCTTCCTCTGGGTTGAGCACCCCTGAATGGTTGCTCTGGCTGAGAGAGCTCAATGACTACAGTGGTGCCAGGGCCATCATCAGGCTCATGTCAGTTTGCACAATTGTCACGTAAGAGGGTCCTAAGCGTAACTATATTGAGCATAACTTTTAAGGCAACACATCTCTAGAATCAATTCAAAGGTTTGATCATTGTCCCAGTTAGGAATCCTCCTCTGTTGCATCTTTTTGGAAGCATTCCATAGGCTCACCATATGTATTCAAACATGACCAGATTAGTGGAGACTATTTGACTTCTGAATTCACGATGCCAGGCAAATGACTGACATCCTTCATCTGACACACTGACACTTATTCTCTAGGCCTTCTCTGAAGACAGGATCTCTGTGAAAAGGAGAACAGCTTGTGTGAACAAGCTGTCTAGTACCTCCCTAAGTATGTTGCCTCACACAAGCGGTTCCTCCACATAATGATGAAATGAGATATCTGCTCATGTGGAATCCATACAGTAGACTGATACAAAAAATCCACCCAAGTCCTAAGCCAAGTCCAGACAGGGTATTTTTGATACAGCTTGGACATATCTTTTTTCCTATCTCAGGTGCGAATATATTCAGCAGTCTCAAAGATGTGTTTCCGTGGCACTGTTTGGTTATGGAACCTTTTGCCAGCAGTTTGACATGAATGTGTTCTCACATCTTGAGTTTTCAAGAAAGACGATGGTTTCAAAAAAGTTGAGCAGTCATTTTGGACTTGATTGCCACCTCTCACCAGGAGTTTGGTGGATTTTGTATGTTTTGTTCCACCATTCAGAGCTCCCTAAGTACTAAGAAGATGGACAGCAGAGAACAGGGCCATTAACATCGTGAGCCACAGATACCTTTACTATTGTTGAATGAGCCTGATTCTCTCATGTCTACAGAGTAAGACAAAATTCTCTTCTCCCTCCATTTGGAAAAATGTCTTAGGACTCCTCAAACAGCACACCAAGAGCATCTCAAGGTTCATTTGTTTTCTGGATTAATTCAGGCCTTGAGAGACAAACTGCATGAATTGGTGAAAGTCCAGCTTCCCTCCATGAGCAAGAATGCCTCATTGACTGATGACTCTTGGTGCCTGGTAAATCATTGGTCATGATGGCCTATCACAGCCACGGACTCCTCTATGATGGTGCATGCCATGCAGCCCTGCTGAGAAGATGTTTTCATTGAAAGACACAAAATGAGTTGTGGTGTTCAGTAAGTGGTGCTAAAATGCCCGGGACTCAGGATGAGGAATAAAGTCTAAGGATAACATGGGGACATTTTATGGAGGAGACTATTCACATGGTTGTTCTACCCACAATGGCTTCCTGTACTTCAAGTTATCCCAAACCTAACAGGATCATACTGACGAGACCATCATCATCTTTCTCATGTTGGTTTCCACAACTGTCACCTAGGCTGGGCCTCAGCGTCATGTGTGAACTCTCAGTCATCAAGGCTCCTCCAGCAATATAAAATGCTCATCATTGACCCTACAAAAGATTCTGCCATTCCCATATCCCTCACAAGGAATCATATGTTCTCCACAAGTCAACCAGGAACAGTGTTTTGGAGAATATTTCATTTTCAGAAGATTCGTGTCCAGCCACAAGGTTGCAGCCCTTTGTTGCTGAGATAGCAGCTTAATTCTAGGCCACCTTCTGAGAGAAAAGGAGCCATAAGCCCATGTCTAAAAGGATACTGATACTTCCACTGGAATTCTGCATCCCACAGACCTTTCCACCAAACACATTCAGATGAGATGACACATTTCTGTTGGACCATCTACTTTCTGGTGACGTCTGGCAATCCCCATGGATCAGGAGCCAAAGAACACACCCTACACAGGGTACAGGGTGAGATATTTTGGATGCCTGTCCTCACATATATTTATTTACAATGGAGACTATTTTGTAATAATTGGGGTTCTTGAGCAATATTTGGCAGATTTGACGTGAGTCTGCTGCTTGTAATCAGTGAGATTTCACCTCTTGAACCAATATGGGTACCTTAAATTCGAGAGTTGATAATTTCAAAAGTAGATTTCATATCTACTTCTTTAATTGTGTCCCCTCTCCACATTATTGCCACACAGTCTCCTTTTTTGCATCAGATTTCCACATTCCCTGAGACCTCAGGAATGATCAACTAAAGTCATAGTCTGGCTCACATCGAGTGAAAGAATGGTTTAGTATGGATCGAGCTTTGGTCCTGCTCGACAAAATTCTCTTATCCCCGAGACCTGCTGAGACACTTGGACCTCATCAGACACCTGGCTGAGAGCATCTGAAGGCTCTCTTTACTCCAGTCTCATAGGAGTTTCAAGAGAAAAGGTACCCATATTGGTTCAGAATTCAATTTGGCTGTGGAACTGAGAGTTCCCAAGCCTAAAAGGTCTCACAAAAACTTATGAATGTTTGTCATGACTCAGTCATACTCTTCCCTAGGATGGTACATGCCATGGTGCCAGCGTGGGCAGAACATTTCATTGTGAGACATAAAGAGAGAAGATGATCTAAGGAAGGGGTTGTTAACCTGCCACACGTTTGAGAAAGGGGTCAACACATTACAATTGAATTTGCCAATTTCATGGTGGAGTGCTTCCTCTGGGTTGAGCACCCCTGAATGGTTGCTCTGACTTAGAGACCTCCATGACTACAGTGGTGCCAGGGCCATCATCAGGCTCATGTCATTTTCACAATGGTCAGGTAAGAGGGTCCTAAGCGTAACTATATTGTGCATGACTTTTAAGACAACGCATCTCTAGAATTAGGGTAAAGTGTTCATCATTGCCCCAGCTAGAAGTCCTACATTGTCACCTCTTTTTGAAATATGCCCAGAGGCTCACCAAAATTTAACAAAAGTTAGCAGATTAGTGGAGAGTATTTGACTTTCAGAGGGCACGATGTCAATCACTTGGCTGACAAACTTCATCCGAGAGACTGACACTTATTCTCTACAACTTCTCTGAAGATGGGATCTCTGTGAAAAGGAGCATGACAGCTTGTGTGAATAAGCTGTCTAGTACCTACCTAGGTATGATGTCTCACAAAAGTTATTCCTCCACATAATGATGTGATGAGATACATGCTCATGTGGAATCCACCATGTAGACTAAGACAAAAGGTCCACCAGGTCCTGAGCCAAGTCCAGGCAGGGTACTTTTGATATAGCTTGGACATGCCTCTCTTTGAATCTCAGGTGCGAATATATTCAGCAGTCTCAAGTTGGATTTTCATGGCACACCTTGGTTATGGGACCTTTTGCCAGCAGTTGGACATGAGTGTGTTCTCACATCTTGAGTTACCAAGAAAGACGGTGGTTTCAAAAAAGTTAGACTGTCATTTTTGACTTGAGTGTCCACTCTCACCAGGAGTCCGGTGGCTTCTCTTTGCTCTGTGCCACCATTCTGAGCCCCCAAATATACATAAGATGCACCCCAGAGAACAGGACAATTAACATCGTTAGCCACAGATACCTTTACTATTATTAAATGATCCTGATTCTCTCGTGTCTATAGAGAAGGACAAAATGCTCTTCTCCCTCCATTTGGAAAAGAATCCTAGGACTCCACAAACAGCACACCAAAAGCATCTTGAGTCTCATTTGCTTTCTGGGTTCACTAAGGCATGCAAACTGCATGCATTGGTGAAAGTCCAGCTTGCCGCCAAGAGCAAAAATGCCTCATTGATTGATGACACTCTGTGACTGGTAAATCATTGGTTTTGAAACCTGATGGCAGTCACGGACTCTAATATGATGCATGCCATGTAGCCATGCTGAGTAGATGTTTCCACTGAAAAACACAAAGTTAGACGGGTGCTATGCAAGGGGTGCTACAATGCCCTTGACTCAGGATGAGGATTAAAGTCTAAGAATAACATGGAGAAATTTTATGGAGGAGACTATTCACCTGTTCATACTCCCCAAAATGGCTTCCCATAGTTCAAGTTCTCCAAGACCAAACATGATCGAAATGCCTGGACCATCAGCATCTTCCCCATGTTGGTTTCCACAACTGTCACCTAGGCTGGGCCTCAGCGTCATGCATGAGCTTTCAGTCATCACTGCTCCTCCAGGCAATATAAAATGCTCATCATTGACCCAACACAAGGATGCGCCAATCCCATATCCCTCGCAAGGACAGACATATGCTCACCACAAGTCAACCAGGAAGAGCTTTTGGAGAATATTTCACTTTCAGAGAATCCATGAGCAGCCACCTGGTTTCAGCCCTTTTTGCTTGGATAGCAGGTTAATTCCAGGCCACCTTCTGAAAGAAAAGGAGTCATAAGGCGTGTCAAAAAAGATACTGATACTTCCATTGGGATGCTGCATCCCACCAACCTGACCTCCAAACACATCCAGATGAGAAAATACATTTCTGTTAATCCCTCTGCTTTCAGGTGACATCTGGCAATCCCCGTGGATCAGGAGCCAAAGAACACACCATACATGGGGTTCAGGGTGAGACATTTTGGATGCCTGTCCTCTCATAACTCAATTTGCAAAGCGGTCTACTGTGCAATCATTGGGTTTCTTGAGCAATATTTGGCATGTTTGACTCAATCCTGCTGCTTGTAGTCAGTGAGATTTCACCATTGAGCATTCAAGAGAGTTCATGATTTAATAAGTGGATTTCATATCTACTTCTTAATTTTTGTCCACTCTCCACATTACTGCTTCAAATTCTTCTTTTTTGCACCACATTTACACATTCCCTGAGACCTCAGAAGATGCTGAACTAAAGCCATAATCTGGATGAAGTTGAGTGAAAGAATGGTTTAGTCTGGATCCAGCTTCTGTCCTACTCAACAAAATCCTCTTATTCCTGAGACTAGCAGAGACACTTGGACCTCATTAAACACCAGGCTGAGAGCATTTGAAGGCTCTCTTTGCTCCAGTCTCATAGGGGTTTCAAGAGTAAAGGTACTAATACTGGTTCAGTATTCAATTTGGTGGTGGAACTGAGAGTTCCCAAGACTAAAAGGTCCCATAAAAACTTATGAATAATTGTCATGATCCCAATCCCGGCCATGCTCTTCCCTGGGATGGTGCATGCCATGGTGCCAGCATGGGCAGATATTTCACTGTGAGACATAAAGAGAGAAGATGATCTAAGGAAGGGGTTGTTATCTTGTACCGCGTTTGTGAAAGGGGTCAACACATTACAATCGAATTTCCAATTTCATGGTGGAGTGCTTCCTCTGGGTTGAGCATCCCTGGATGGTTGCTTTGACTTAGAGAGTCCCATGACTACAGTGGTGCCAGGGCCATCATCAGGCTCATGTCATTTTCACATTTGTCTTGTAAGTGGGTCCTAAGCGTAATTATATTTTGCATGACATTTAAGACAACACATCTCTAGAATTAGGGCAAAGGTTTCATCATTGCCCCAGCTAGGAATCCTACTTTGCCTCCTCTTTTTGAAATAGGCCATAGGCTCACCAAAATTTAATGAAAGTTAGTAGATTAGTGGAGACTATTTGACTTTCAGAGGACACAATGTCAGGAACCTGGCTGACAAACTTAGTCCCACAGATTGACACTTATTGTCTACACCTTCTCTGAAGATAGGATCTCTGTGAAAAGGAGCACAACAGCTTGTGTGAACAAGGTGTCTAGTACCTACTTAGGTATGCTGTCTCACACAAGCTATTCCTCCACATATTTATGAAATGAGATACCTGCTCATGTGGAATCCATCCTGTAGACTGAGACAAAAGGTCCACCAGGTCCTGAGCCAAGTCCAGACAGGATACTTTTGAAACAGCTAGGACATGCCTCTCTTCGTATCTCAGGTGCGAATATATTCAGCAGTCTCAAAGTTGGATTTCCGTGGCACACCTTGGTTATAGGACCTTTTGCCAGCAGTTTGACATGAGTGTGTTCTCACAACTTGGGTTTCCAAGAAAGACGGTGGTTTCAAAAAAGTTGGACAGTCATTTTTGACTTGAGTGCCCACTCTCATCAGGAGTCCAGTGGCTTCTCTGCTCTGTGCCACCATTCCAAGCTCCCTAAATATTCAGAAGACGCCCCCCCTCAGAGAATAGGGCCATTAACATCGTGAGCCACAGATACCTTTACTATTGTTAAATGAGCGTGATTCTCTCATGTCTATAGAGCAGGACAAAACTCTCTTCTCCTTCCATTTGAAAAAGAATCCTAGGACTCTTCGAAGAGCATACGAAGAACATCTCGAGTCTCATATGTTTTCTGGATTCACTAAGGCCTTTAGAGACAAACTGCATGCATTGGTGAAAGTCCAGCTTGCCTCCATTAGAAGAACATCTCATTGATTGATGACCCTTGGTGACTGGTAAATCACTGGTCTTGACAACCGATGGCAGTCACAGACTCCTCTATGACGGTGCATGCCATGCAACCACGCTGAGTAGATGTTTCCACTGAAAGACACGAAGTGAGATGGGGTGCACAGCAAGGGGTGCTATAATGCCCGTGACTCAGGATGAGAATTAAAATCTAAGAATAACATGGAGAAATTTTATGGAGGAGACTATCCACATGATCATACACCCCAAGATGGCCTCCCATAGTTCAAGTTCTCCAAGACCAAATACGATTGAAATGCCTGGACCATCAGCATCTTCCCCATGTTGGTTTCTACAACTGTCACCCAGGCTGGGCCTCAGCATCATGCGTGAGCTTTCAGTCATCACTGCTCCTCCAGGCAATATAAAATGCTCATCATTGACCCAACACAAGGATGCGCCAATCTCATATCCCTCACAAGGACAGTCATATGCTCAACACAAGTCAACCAGGAGCAGCATTGTATAGAATATTTCATTTTCAGAGAATTCATGACCAGCCACCTGGTTTCAGTCCTTTTTGCTAGGATAGCAGGCTATTTCCAGCCCAACTTCTGAGAGAACAGGAACCATAAGGGCGTGTCAAAATGGATACTGTTGCTTCCACTGGGATGCTGCACCCCACCGACCTTTCCTCCAAACACATTCAAATGAGACAATACATCTCTGTTGCTCCCTCTACTTTCGGGTGACGTCTGGCAATGCCCATGGATTAGGAGTCAAAGAACACACCATACACAGGGTTCAGGGTGAGACATTTTGGATGCCTGTCCTCTCATATCTCAATTTGCAAAGCAGTCTACTGTGTAATCATTGGGTTTCTTGAGAAATATTTGGCGTGTTTGACTCTAGCCTGCTGCTTGTAATCAGAGAGAGTTCACCTCTTGAGCATTCAAGAGAGTTGATGATTTCACAAGTGGATTTCATATCTACTTAATTTTTGTCCCCTCTCCACATTACTGCCACAAAGCCTTCTTTTTTGCATCACATTTCCACATTCCCTGAGACCTCAGAAGATGCTGAACTAAAGCCATAGTCTGGCCCAAGTTGAGTGAAAGAATGGTTTAGTATAGATCCAGCTTCTGTCCTGCTCAACAAAATCCTCTTATTCCTGAGACTAGCAGAGACACTTGGACCTCATCAGACACCAGGCTTTGAGCATCTGAAGGATCTCTTTGCTCCAGTCTCATAGGGATTTCAAGAGAAAAGGTACTGATATAGGTTTAGAATTCAATTTGGCAGTGAAACTGCGAGTAGCCAAACCTATATAGTCCCTCATAAACTTATGAATGATTGCCATGACTCCCAATCCTAGCCATGCTATTCCCTGGTATAGTGCATGCCATGATCCCAGCGTAGAAGAATATTTCATTGTGAGTCATAAAGAGAGAAGATGATCTAAGGAAAGGGTTGTTAACCTGCCCCACATATGTGAAAGGGGTCAACACATTACAGTCGAATTTCCCAATTTCGTGGTGGAGTGCTTCCTCTGGGTTGAGCATCCCTGGATGGTTGTTCTGGCTTAGAGAACTCAATGACTACAGTAGTGCCAGTGCCATCATCAGGCTCAAATCAGTTTGCACAATTGTCACGTAAGAGGGTCCTAAGTGTAATTATATTGATCATGACCTTTAAGACAACACATCTCTAGAATTAAGGCAAAGGTTTGATCTTTGCCCCAGCTAGGAATCCCTCTTTGCCGCCTCTTTTTGAATTAGGCCCATAGGCTCACCAAAATTTAACAAAAGTTAGCAGATTAATGAAGACTATTAGTCATTCAGAGGACACGATATCAGGCACCTGGCTGACAAACTACGTCCCAGAGACTGACACTTATTCTCTACGCCATCTCTGAAGATGGCATCTCTTTGAAAAGAAGGACAGCTTGTGTGAACAAGCTGTCTAGTACCTCCCTCGATATGCTGCCTCACACAAGTGGTTCCTCCACCTAATTATGAAATTAGATACCTGCTCATGTGGAATCCATTCTGTAGGCTGAGACAAAAGGTTCACCAGGCCCTGAACCAATTCCAGGCAGGGTACTTTTGATTCATCTTGGATATGCCTCTCTTCGTATCTCAGCTGTGAATATATGCAGCAGTCTCAAAGTTGGGTTTTCATGGCACAGCTTGGTTATAGACATTTTGCCAGCAGTTTGACATGAGTGTGTTCTCACATCTTGAGATTTCAAGAAAGACGGTGGTTTCAAAAAAGTTGGACAGTCATTTTTGCCTAGAGTGTCCCCTCTCACTAGGAGTCTGGTGGAATCTCTTTGCTCTGTGCCAAAATTCTGAGCTCCCTAAGTACTCAGAAGATGCCAAAGTGAACAGGATCATTAACAACGTGAGCCACAGATACCTTTACTATTATTAAATGAGCCTGATTCTCTCATGTCTATAGAGCAGGACACAACTCTCTTCTCCCTCCATTTGGAAAAGAATCCTAGGCCTCCTCAAAGAGCACAGCAAGAGCATCTCGAATCTCAGTTGTTTTCTGGATTCACTCAGGCCTTGAGAGACAAACTGCATGCATTTGTGAAAGTCCAGCTTGCCTCCATGAGCAAGAATGTCTCATTGATTGATGACCCTCGGTGACTGGTAAATCATTTGTAATGAGAACAGATCGCAGTCACGGACTCCTCTATGACGATACATGCCATGCAGCCATGCTGAGTAGATGTTTCCACTGAAAGACACAAAGTGAGATGGGGTGCTCAGCAAGGGGTGCGAAAATGCCCGCGACTCAGGATGAGGAAAAAAGTCTAAGGATAACATGCAGAAATTTTATGGAGGGGACAATTCAAATAGTCGTACTCCCCAAGATGTCATCGCATTCTTTAAGTTCTCCAACACCAAACACAATTGTACTGCCGGGACCATCATCATCTTTCCCATGTTGGTTTTGACAACTGTCACCCAGCCTGGGCCTCAGTGTCATGCGTGAACTTTCAGTCATCATGACTCCTCCAGGCAATATAAAATGCTCATCATTGACCCAATACAAGGACCTACCATTCCCATATCCCTCGCAAGGACAGTCATATCTTCTCTACAAGTCAACCAGGAACAGCGTTTTGAAGAATATTTCATTTTCAGAGGATTCGTGTCCAGCCACCAGGTTGCAGACCTGTATTGCTGGGATAGCAGCTTATTTCCAGGCCACCTTCTGAGTGAAATGGAGCCATAAGGGCATATCTAAGAGGATACTGATACTTCCACTGGAATGCTGCATCCCACAGACTTTTCTCCAAAAACACATCCAGACGGGACAATACATTTCTGTTGGGCCCGCTGCTTTCGGGTGACGGTTGGCAATCCCCGTGGATCAGGAGCCAAAGAACACACCATGCACAGAGTTTAGGGTGAGACATTTTGGATGCCTGTTCCCTCATATCTCAATTTGCAAAGCGGTCTGCTGTGTAATTATTTGGTTTCTTGAGCAATATTTGGCATGTTTGACTCTAGCCTGCTGCTTGTAGTCAGTGAGATTTCACCTCTTGAGCATTCAAGAGTGTTGATGATTTCACAAGTGGATTTCATATCTACTTCTTGATTTTTGTACCCTCTCCACATTACTACTACATAGTCTTTTTTTGCACCACATTTATACATTCTCTGAGATCTCAGAAGATGCTCAGTTAGAGCCATAGTCTGGATCAAGTTGAGTGAAAGAATGGTTTAGACTGGATCCAGTTTCTGTCCTGCTCAAAAAAATTCCTCTTATCCCTGAAACTAGCACAGACACTTGGACCTCATTAGACACCAGGCAGAGAACATCTGAAGGCTCTCTTTGCTCCACTCTCATAGGGGTTTCAAGAGAAAAGGTACTCATATTGGTTCAGAATTCAATTTGATAGTGGAACTGAGAGTAGCCAATCCTGTAGAGTCCCACATAAACTTATAAATGATCGTCATGACTCCCAATCCCAGCCATGCTCTTCTCTGGTATGGTGCATGCCATGGTGCCAGTGTGGGCAGAATATTTCATTGTGAAACACAAAGAGAGAAGATGATCTAAGGAAGGGGTTGTTAACTTGCCCTGCATTTGTGAAATGGGTCAACACATTACAAACAAATTTGTCAATTTCCTGGTGGAGTGCTTCCTCTGGGTTGAGAGCCCTGGATGGTTTTTCTGGCTTAGAGAGCTCAGTGACTACAGTGGGTGCCAGGGTCATCATCAGGCTCACACCAGTTTGCACAATTGTCACGTTAGAGGGTCCTGAGCATAACTATATTGAGCATAACTTTTAAGACTACAAATCTATAGAATCAAGTCAAATGTTTGATCATTGACCCAGCTAGGAATCCTCCTTTGTTTCCTCTTTTTGACAGCAGCCCAAAGGCTCACCACAAGTAAACAAACGTGACCAGATTAGTGGAGACTATTTGACTTTCAGAGGACACAATGCCAGGCAACTGACTGACATCCTTCTTCCGAGAAACTGACACTTATTCTCTAGGCCTTCTCTGAAGACTGGATCTCTGTGAAAAGGAGGAGGAGAGCTTCTGTGAACAAGCTGTTTAGTACCTCCATAGGTATGCTGTCTCACACAAGTGGTTCTTCTGCATAATGATGAAATGAGTTACCTGCTCATGTGAAATCCATACGGTAGGCTGAGACAAAAAGGTACACCAGGTCCTGAGCCAAGTCCACACAGGGTACTTTTGATACAGCTTCAACAAGCCTCTCTTCGTATTTCAGGTGCGAATATATACAGCAGTCTCAAAGGTGGGTTTTCATGGAACAGCTTGGTTATAGGACCTTTTGCCAGGTGTTTGACATGAGTGTGTTCTCACATCATGAGTTCTCAAGAAAGACGGTGGTTTCAAAAAAGTTGGACAGTCATTTTTGTCTTGAGAGTCCCCTCTCACCACGAGTCTGGTGGATTCTGTATGCTCTGTGCCACCATTCAGAAATCCCTAAGTACTAAGAAGACGAACAGCAGAGAACAGAGCTATTAACGTCGTGAGCCACAGATAGCTTTACTATTATTAAATGAGCCTGATTCTCTCATGTCTACAGAGCAGGGCAAAATTCTCTTCTCCCTCCATTTGGAAAATAATCCTAGGACACCTCAAACAGCATACCAAGAACATCTCGAGGCTCATTTGTTTTCTGGCTTAACTCAGGCCTTGAGAGACAAACTGCATGAATTGGTGGAAGTTCAGCTTCCCTCCATGAGCAAGAATGCATCATTGATTGATGACCCTCAGTGACTGGTAAATAATTGGTCATGATGACCAATCACAGCCACGGACTCCTCTATGATGGTCCACGCCATGCAGCAAAGCTGAGCAGATGTTTTCACTGAAAGACACAAAATGAGATGGGGTGTTCAGTAAGGGGTGCTAAAAGGCCTGGGACTCAGGATGAGGATTAAAGTCTAAGGATAACATGGAGCAATTTTATGGAGGAGACTATTCACATGGCCGTACTCCCAAAGATGGCCCCTGTACTTCAAGTTATCCAGCACCTAACAGGATCATACTGATGGGACCATCATCATCTCCCCCAAGTTGTTTTTCACAACTGTCACCTAGGCTGGGCCTCAGCATCAGTCGTGAACTTTCAGTCATCACTGCTCCTCCAGGCAGTATAAAATGCTCATCACTGACCCAACACAAGGATTTGTCAATCTCATATCCCTCGCAAGGACAGTCATATGTTCACCACAAGTCAACCAAGAACAGTGTTTTGGAGAATATTTCATTTTCAGATCCATGCCCAGCCACCTGGTTGCAGCCCTTTGTTGCTGGGATAGCAGCTTATTTCCAGGCCACCTTCTGAGAGAACAGGAACCATAAGGGCATGTCTAAGAGGATACTGATACTTCCACTGGAATGCTGCATTCCACAGACCTTTTCTCCAAACACATCCAAATGAGATGATACATTCCTGTTGGGCCCTCTGCTTTCGGGTGACATCTGGCAATCCCCATGGATCAGGAGTCAAAGAACACATCCAACACAGGGTACAGGCTGAGACATTTTGGATGACTGTTATTTCATATCTCAATTTGCAGAGAGGACTATTGTATAATAATTGGGGGTTTTCAGCAATATTTGTCAGGTTTGACGCAAGCCTGGTGCTTGTAATCAGTGATTTTCACCTCTTGAGGATTCGAGAGTTGATAATTTCAAAAGTAGATTTCATATCTACTTCTTTAATTGTGTCCCTTCTCCACATTACTGCCACACAGTCTCCTTTTGTTCTTCAGATTTCCACGTTGCCTGTGACCTCAGAAAATGCTCAACTAAAGCCATAGTCTGGCTCAAACTGAGTGAAAGAATGGTTTAGAATGGATCGATTTTCTGTCCTGCTCGGCAAAATCTTCTTATCCCTAAGACCTGCAGAGACACTTGGACCTCATCAGACACCAGACTGAGATCATCTGAAGGCTCTCTTTGCTCCAGTCTCATAAGGGTTTCAAGAGAAAAGGTACCCATATTAGTTAAGAATCCAATTTGGCTGTGGAACTGAGAATTGCCAAGACTAAAAGGTCCCATAGAAACTTATGAAAGATTGTCATGACTTCCAATCCCAGCCATGCTCTTCCCTGGGATGGTGCATGCCATGGTGCCAGCGTGGGCAGAATATTTCACTATGAGACATAAAGAGAGAAAATAATCTAAGGAAGGGGTTTTTAACCTGCCCCGCATTTGTGAAAGGGGTCAACACATTACAATCGGATTTGCCAATTTCATGGTGGAGTGCTTCCTCTGGGTTGAGCACCCCTGGATTGTTGCTCTGACTTAGAGAGTCCCATGACTACAGTGGTGCCAGGGCCATCATCAGGCTCATGTCATTTTCACATTTGTCTTGTAAGTGGGTCGTAAGCATAATTATATTTTGCATGACTTTTAAGACAACACATCTCTAGAATTAGGGCAAAGGTTTCATCATTGCCCCAGCTAGGAATCCCATTTTGCCTCCTCTTTTTGAAATAGGCCCATAGGCTCACCAAAATTTAAAGTGAGTGAGCAGATTAGTGGAGACTATTTAACTTTCAGAGGACACAATGTCAGGAACCTGGCTGGCAAACTTAGTTCCACAGATTGACACTTATTATCTACACCTTCTCTGAAGATGGGATCTCTGTGAAAAGGAGCACAACAGCTTGTGTGAACAAGGTGTCTAGTACCTACTTAGGTATGCTGTCTCACACAAGCTATTCCTCCACATATTTATGAAATGAGATACCTGCTCATGTGGAATCCATCCTGTAGACTGAGACAAAAGGTCCACCAAGTCCTGAGCCAAGTCCAGACAGGATACTTTTGATACAGCTAGGACATGCCTCTCTTCGTATCTCAGGTGCGAATATATTCAGCAGTCTCAAAGTTAGGTTTTCATGGCACACCTTGGTTATGGGACCTTTTGCCAGCAGTTTGACATGAGTGTGTTCTCACAACTTGAGTTTCCAAGAAAGACGGTGGTTTCAAAAAAGTTGGACAGTCATTTTTGACTTGAGTGTCCACCCTCACCAGGAGTCCAGTGGCTTCTCTGCTCTGTGCCACCATTCTGAGCTCCGAAAATATTCAGAAGACGCCCCCCCTCAGAGAACAGGGCCATTAACATCGTGAGCCAGATACCTTTACTATTGTTAAATGAGCGTGATTCTCTCATGTCTATAGAGCAGGACAAAACGCTCTTCTCCCTCCATCTGAAAAAGAATCCTAGGACTCTTCAAAGAGCACACCAAGAGCATCTCGAGTCTCATTTGTTTTCTGGCTTCACTAAGGCCTTGAGAGACAAACTGCATGCATTGGTGAAAAGTCCAGCTTGCCTCCATGAGAAAGAACGTCTCATTGATTGATGACCCTTGGTGACTGGTAAATCACTGGTCTTGACAACCGATGGCAGTCACAGACTCCTCTATAACGGTGCATGCCATGCAACCATGCTGAGTAGATGTTTCCACTGAAAGACACAAAGTTAGACAGGTGCTATGCAAGGGGTGCTACAATGCCCTTGACTCAGGATGAGGATTAAAGTCCAAGAATAACATGGAGAAATTTTATGGAGGAGACTATTCACCTGTTCATACTCCCCAAAAAATGGCTTCCCATAGTTCAAGTTCTCCAAGACCAAACACGATCGAAATGCCTGGACCATCAGTATCTTTCTCATGTTGGTTTCTACACCTGTCACCTAGGCTGGGCCTCAGCATCATGCGTGAGCTTTCAGTCATCACCGCTCCTCCAGGCAATATAAAATGTTCATCATTGACCCAACACAAGGATGCGCCAATCCCATATCCCTCACAAGGACAGTCATGTGCTCAACACAAGTCAACCAGGAGCAGCATTGTGGAGAATATTTCATTTTCAGGGAATTCATGACCAGCCACCTGGTTTCAGTCCTTTTTATAGGATAGCAGGCTATTTCCAGCCCACCTTCTGAGAGAAAATGAACCATAAGGGTGTGTCAAAAAGGATACTCATACTTCCACTGGGATGCTGCACCCCACCGACCTTTCCTCCAAACACATTCAGATGAGACACATTTCTGTTGGGCTCTCTGCTTTCAGGTGACGTCTGGCAATGCCCATGGATTAGGAGCCAAAGAACACACCATACACAGGGTTCAGGGTGAGACATTTTGGATGCCTGTCCTCTCATATCTCAATTTGCAAAGCGGTCTACTGTGTAATCATTGGGTTTCTTGAGAAATATTTGGCGTGTTTGACTCTAGCCTGCTGCTTGTAATCAGAGAGAGTTCACCTCTTGAGCATTCAAGAGTTGATGATTTCACAAGTGGATTTCATATCTACTTAATTTTTGTCCCCTCTCCACATTACTGCCACAAAGCCTTCTTTTTTGCATCACATTTCCACATTCCCTGAGACCTCAGAAGATGCTGAACTAAAGCCATAGTCTGGCCCAAGTTGAGTGAAAGAATGGTTTAGTATAGATCCAGCTTCTGTCCTGCTCAACAAAATCCTCTTATTCCTGAGACTAGCAGAGACACTTGGACCTCATCAGACACCAGGCTCTGAGCATCTGAAGGATCTCTTTGCTCCAGTCTCATAGTGGTTTCAAGAGAAAAGGTACTAATATAGGTTTAGAATTCAATTTGGCGGTGGAACTGCGAGTAGCCAAGCCTATATAGTCCCTCATAAACTTATGAATGATTGTCATGACTCCCAATCCTAGCCATGCTATTCCCTGTTATAGTGCATGCCATGGTCCCAGCGTAGCAGAATATTTCATTGTGAGTCACAAAGAGAGAACATGACCTAAGGAAGGGGCTGTTAACCTGCCCCACATATGTGAAAGGGGTCAACACATTACAATCAAATTTCCCATTTTCGTGGTGGAATGCTTCCTCTGGGTTGAGCACCCCTGGATGGTTGTTCTGGCTTAGAGAGCTCAATGACTATAGCAGTGCCAGTGCCATCATCAGGCTCACATCAGTTTGCCCAATTGTCATGTAAGAGGGTCCTAAGCATAATTATATTAAGCATGACTTTTAAGACAACACATCTCTAGAATTAAGGCAAAGGTTTGATCTTTGACCCAGCTAGGAATCCTCCTTTGCCACCTCTTTTTGAATTAGGCCCATAGGCTCACCAAAATTTAACAAAAGTTAGCAGATTAGTGAAGACTATTTGACATTCAGAGGACACGATGTCAGGCACCTGGCTGACAAACTACATCCGAAAGAATGACACTTATTCTCTATGCCATTTCTGAAGATGGCATCTCTTTGAAAAAAAAGACAGCTTGTGTGAACAAGCTGTCTAGTACCTCCCTCGATAAGGTGCCTCACACAAGTGGTTCCTCTATCTAATTATGAAATTAGATACCTGCTCATGTGGAATCCATTCTGTAGGCTGAGACAAAAGGTTCACCAGGTCCTGAGCCAATTCCAGGCAGGGTACTTTTGATACATCTTGAATATGCCTCTCTTCATATCTCAGCTGTGAATATATACAGCAGTCTCAAAGTTGGGTTTTCATGGCACAGCTTGGTTATGGGACATTTTGCCAGCTGTTTGACATGAGTGTGTTCTCACATCTTGAGATTTCAAGAAAGACGGTGGTTTCAAAAAAGTTGGACAGTCATTTTGCCTAGAGTGTCCCCTCTCACTAGGAGTCCGGTGGAATCTCTTTGCTCTTTGCCAACATTCTGAGCTCCCTAAGTACTCAGAAGATGACCAGAAGCGAACAGGACCATTAACAACGTGAGCCACAGACACCTTTACTATTATTAAATGAGTCTGATTCTCTCATGTCTAAAGAGCAGGACACAACTCTCTTCTCCCTCCAGTTGGAAAAGAGTCCTAGGACTCCTCAAAAAGCACACCAAGAGCATCTCGAGGCTCAATTGTTTTCTAGATTCACTCAAGCCTTGAGACACAAACTTCATGCATTGGTGAAAGTCCAGCTTGCCTCCATGAGCAAGAACGTCTCATTGATAGATGACCCTCATTGACTGATAAATCACTGGTCATGAAAATTGATCACAGTCACGGACTCCTCTCTGATGGTGCATGCCATGAAGCCACGCTAAGTAGATTTTTCCACTGAAAGACACAAAGTGAGATGGGGGCTCAGCAAGGGGTGCAAAAATACCTGCAACTCAGGATGAGGATTAAAGTCTAAGGATAACATGGAGAAATTTAATGGAGGAGATTATCCACATGGTTGTACTCCCTAAAATGGCCTCCCATAGTTCAATTTTCCAGCACCAAACACAAACGTACGGCTGAGACCATCATCATCTTCCCCATGTTGGTTTCCACAACTGTCACGTAGGCTGGCCCTCAGTGTCATCCGTGAACTTTCAGTCATCACCGATCCTCCAGACAATATTAAATGCTCATCATTGACAAAACACAAGGATCTGCCAATCCCATATCCCTCTCAAGGACAGTCATATGCTCACCACAAGTCTACTAGGAACAGTGTTTTGGAGAATATTTCATTTTCAGAGGATTCATGGCCAGCCACCTGTTTGCAGCCCTCTGTTGCTGAGATAGCAGCTAATTTTCAGGCCACCTCTGTGAGAAAAGGGGCCATAAGGGCGTGTCAAAAAGTGTACTCATAATTTCACTGTGATGCTGCATCCCACAGACCTTTCCTCCAAACACATTCAGATGAGACAATACATTTCTGTTGGGTCCTCTGATTTCGGGTGACGTCTGGCAAACCCCATGGATCAAGAACCAAAGAACACACCATACACATGGTTCAGGTTGAGACATTTTGGATGACTGTCCTCTCATATCAAAATTTGCAAAGTGGTCTACTGTGTAATCATTGGGTTTCTTAAGCAATATTTGGCATGTTTGACTCTACCCTGCTGCTGTAATTAGTGAGATTTCACCTCTTGAGCATTCAAGAGAGTTGATGATTTCACAAGTAGACTTTATATTTACTTCTTAATTTGTTGTCCCTCTACACATGACTGCTGCACAGTTTCCTTTTTGCTGTCAACATTCCAGACTCCCTGATACCTCAGAAGATGCTCAATTAATGACATTGTCTGGCTCAAGTTGAGTGAAAGAATGGTTTATTATCCAGCTTGCATCCTACTTGACAAAATACTCTTATCCCTGAGATAAGCAGAGACACTTGGACCTCATGAGACACCAGTCTGAGAGCATCTGAAGGCTCTCTTTGCTCCAGTCTCATAGGGGTTTCAAGAGAAAATGTACTCATATTGATTCGGAATTCAATTTGGCTCCAGAACTCAGAGTTCCCAAGCCTAAGTAGTCCCACATAAACTTTTGTATGATCATCAAGACTCCCAATCCCAGCCATGCTCTTCCCTGGGATGGTGCATGCCATGGTGCCAGCATGGGCAGAATATTTCATTGTGAGACACAAAGACAGATGATGATCTAGGGAAGGGGTTGTTAACCTGCCCCACGTTTGTGAAAGGGATCAAGACATTGCAATCGAATTTGTCAATTGCATGGTGGAGTACTTCCTCTGGGTTGAACACCCCTGGATGGTTTCTCTGGCTTAGAGAGCTGCACGACTAGAGGGGTTCCAGGGTCATCATCAGGCTCACGTCACTTTGCACAAATGTCATGTAAGAGGGTCCTAAGTGCAACTATATTTAGCATGACTTTTAAGACAACACATCTCTAGAATCAAGTCAAAGGTTTGATCATTGACCCAGCTAGGAATCCTCCTTTGTTGCCTCTTTTTGAAGCGGCCCATAGGTTCACCAAATGTAACCAAACGTAGCCAGATTAGTGGAGACTATTTGACTATCAGAAGAGACGATGCCAGGCACCTGACTGACATCCTTCATCTGAGACACTGATATTTATTCTCTAGGGCTCTAGGGCTTCTCTGAAGACAGGATCTCTGTGAAAAGGAGTAGGACAGCTTGTGTGAACAAGCTGTCTAGTACCTCCCTAGGTATGCTGCCTCACACAGTGGTTCCTCCACATAATGATGAAATGAGATACCTGCTCATGTGGAATCCATCCTGTAGACTGAGACAAAAGGTCCACCAGGTCCTGAGCCAAGTCCAGGTAGGGTACTTTTGATACAACTTAGACATGCTTCTCTTCGTATCTCAGGTGCGAATATATTCAGCAGTTTCAAAGGTGGGTTTTCATGGCACAGCTTGGTTATGGGACCTTTTGCCAGCAGTTTGAAATGAGTGGGTTCTCATTTATTGAGTTTTTGAGAAATATGGTGGTTTCAAAAATGCTGGAGAGTCATTTTTGACATGAGTGCCCCCATTCACCAGGAGTTCAGTGGATTCTCTTTGCTCTGTGCCACCATTTCGATCTTCCTAACTTCTCAGAAGACGTCCAGCAAGAACAGGGTCTTTAACATCATGAGACACATATACCTTTACTATTATTAAATGAGCCTGATTCTCTCATGCATATAGAGCAGGACAACACTCTATTCTCCCTCCAATTGGAAAAGAATCCTAGGACTCCTCAAACAACACACCAAGAGCATCTTGAGGCTCATTTGTTTTCTGGATTCACTCGGGCCTTAAGAGACAAACTGCATGCATTGGTGAAAGTCCAGCTTGCCTCCATGAGCAAGAACATCTCACTGATAGATGACCCTCGGTGTCTGGTAAATCATTGGTCATGAAAACCATTCACAGTCACAGACTCCTCTATGACGGTGCATGTCATGCAGCCACACTGAGTAGATGTTTCCACTGAAAGACCCAAAGTAAGATCGGGTGCTCGGCAAGGGGTACTATAATGCCCAGGACTCAGAATGAGGATTAAAGTCTAAGGATAACTTGGGGAAATTTTATGGAGGAGACTATCCACATTGTCGTACTCCCCGAGATGGCTTCCCGTACTTCAAGTTCTTCAGGAACAAGCAAAATGATACTGATGGGACCATCATCATCTTCCCCATGTTGGTTTCCACAACTGTCTCCTAGGCTTGGCCTCAGCATCATGAGTGAACTTGCAGTCATCACCGCTCTTCCAGGCAATATGAAATGATCATTATTGACCAAACACAAGGATCCACCAATTTCATATCTCTCGCCAGGACAGTCATATGCTCACCACAAGTCAACCAGGAACAGCATGGAAGAATATTTCATTTTCAGAGGATTTGTGGCCAGCCACCTGGTTGCAGCCCTTTGTTGTTGGGATAGCAGCTTATTTGCAGGCCACCTTCTGAGAGAAAAGGAGCCATAAGGGCATGTCAAAAAGGATACTAATGCTTCCACTGGAATTCTGCATCCCACAGACCTTCCCTCCAAACACATCCAGATGAAACAATAGATTTCTGTTGGGCCCTCTGCTTTTGGGTGATGTCTGGCAATCCCCGTGGATCAGGAGCCAAAGAACACACCATACACAGGGTTCAGGGTGAGACATTTTTGGATGTCTGTCCTTTCATATCTCAATTTGCAAAGCGGACTACTGTGTAATAATTTGATTCCTTAAGCCATATTAGGCATGTTTGACTCTAGTCTGTTGGTTGTAATCAGTGAGATTTCACATCTTGAGCATTCAAAGAGTTGATGATTTCACAAGTGGATTTCATATCTACTTCTTAGTTTCTGTCCCCTCTGAACATGACTGCCACACAGTCTACTTTTGCATCAGCATTCCACACTCCCTGAGGCCCAGAAGATGCTCAACTAAGGACATAGTCTGGCACGTGTTGAGTGAACGAATGGTTTAGTGTGTATCCAGTATGTGGCCCACTCGACAAAACCCTCTTATCACTGAGATTAGAGGAGACACTTGAACATCATCAAACACCAGACTTGAGAGCATCTGAAGGCTCTCATTGCTCCAGTCTAGTACGGGTTTCAAAAGAAAAAGTACTAATATTGGTTCAGAGTTCAATTTGACTCCAGAACTGAGAGTTTCCAAGCCTAAGGGGGCCCACAGGTACTTATGAATGATGGTCACGACTCCCAATCACAGCCAAGCTCTCCCCAGGATGGTTCATGTCATTTTGCCATTGTGGGCATAATATTTCATTGTTAGACACAAAGAGAGAATTTGTGCTAAGGAAGGGGTTGTTAACCAGCCCCTTTTTTTTGAAGGGGTCAAGTCACTGCAATCAAGTTTGCCAATTTCACGGTAGGGTGCTTCCTCTGGGTTGAACACCCCAGGTTCGTTTCTCTGGCTTAGAGAGCTATGCGACTGGAGCGGTGCCAGGGGCATCATTGGGCTCACATCACTTTGCACAATTGTTACGTAAGAGGGTCCTAAGCATAACCATATTGAGAATGACTTTTAAGACGACACATCTCTAGAATCAAGTCAAAGTTTTTATCATTGACACAGCAAGGAAACCTCTTTTGCTGCCTCTTTTTGAAAGTGGCCCATCGGTTGGCCAAAATTTAACAAACATGAGCAGATTAGTGGGGACTATTTGACTTTCAGAGGACACGATGTCAGGCAGCTGACTGACATCCTTCATCCGAGAGATTGACACTTAATCTCTACGTCTTCTCTGAAGACAGGATATCTGTGAAAAGGAGTAGGACATCTTTGGTGAACAAGCTGTCTAGTACCTCCCTAGGTATGCTGCCTCACACAAGCAGTTACTCCACATAATGATGAAATGAGATACGTGCTCATGTGGAATCCATCCTGTAGGGTGAGCCAAAAGTCCACCAGGTCCTGAGCCAAGTCCACACAGGGTACTTTTGATACAGCTTGGATAGGCCTCTCTTCATATCTCAGTTGCGAATATATTCAGCAGTCTCAAAGATGGGTTTTTGTGACACAGCTTGGTTATGGAACCTTTTGCCCGAAGTTTGACATGAGTGTGTTCTCACATCTTCAGATTTCAAGAAAGACGGTGATATCAAAAAAGTTGGAGGGCGGAGCCCCCCCTCCCGCCCCTAACCCGACACCTGAGCTGTGGCGGTGGCGGTGGCTCCCGCCCTCGGGCAGGGCCGGGCACAGCGCCTCCCGGGTACTCGCGACCAAGCCAGATGTGCACGGATGTCGGTGCTCCTGGGGCTCGGAGGCGCCTGACGCGCACAGCAGGGACCAAGACTGCAAACTGCTGAATAGACAGACTGTAAAACAGAGGGAAAAGTGAACTAAACCAGAAGACCCTCATAAGGAAGAACAGGTCATTGCAGAAGAGAAATAAAAGCAACCCCACCTTCCCTCAAAAACATAATTGAAGAGGGGGTGGGAAAGGGGTAAAGGGAGAAAAATCTACAGAAATGAAGAAAAACCAAAAGAAGAGTATGGGTCTCTCCCAGACGCCTGGGAGAGCAGACACTGAGAAAATTGACTTTGGAATACAAACAATGAAAAGTCCCCAGAATGAAGGGTCTCAAAATGCAAATGCAGATATCAAAACAATAATGGAGAGACTAAAAAGAATTGAGGAGACACAAGAAGAAACTAGGAAGGAGCTGATATCTGAGATAACAGTAATAAAGAATACTGTGAATGAAATAAATAACAAATTGATAAGCATGGAAAGCAGAATTACCCAAGCAGAAGAAAGAATCTCAGAGCTTGAGGACCAAAATATAGAAATAACCCAAACTCTTAAAAACACAGAAAATAAGCTAAAAAAGACAGAACAAAACCTTCAAGAGATGAGTGACTACGTCAAGAGGCCTAACCTAAGAATAATCGGACTCCCTGAGGCATAAAGAGAAACAGAGACCACATTGGAACAAACTTTCCACGAGATCATTCAAGAAAATTTCCCTTATCTAATCAGTGATACAAAAATTCAAACACAAGAGATTCAGAGAACCCCCGCAAGACAACAAATGAGAAGATCAACTCCTAGACACATAATAATTCGCCTAAATAAAGTAGGTACAAAAGAAAAAATCCTAAAGGCAGCGAA